ATTGTTGAACCTGTATCGTCATTGTTAACGCAATACAACAACGGTAACAGTAATAGCGACACCATTGACAACATAGTTTCACGTGATCAATTTCATGTGATTCTGCACATTTAGCTCCACCACCACCATGTTCCCCACCCTGTCCAGAATACGCGACCTGTCAACTTGGAACATGCCACTGTGTACCTGGGCTCATCATGTCTGGAAACAGAAGATGTACACGTAAGTATGACGTCATTACATCACGTGACTAAGCACTACGCTTTGATTCCTGCATTGCTTGTGTTTTTTCCATCAGTGTTAGCATGTCCTTGATTTAAACAATTAATATTTAACAATACTTTTTGTTGATTTTTCTAATTCAGTGCAATCGCCAGTGCATGCAATTGATACAGCGCCATCACCGTCTCCACTCCCTCCCCCGCCGTCACCTAAGCTACCTCCCCCTTCGAATTTAGTACAACCATACAGCTATGCTTACCAATCCTCTCTGTCCCCACTCTACCCCTACAAGTACGCCTACGGCAAACGAAGTGACGTTGATGACAACGACATGCATGTGGACCATTCCTGGAAAAACAGTAAAACACACAGGAAGCATCGAGGATAAATATTATTAATAATAATCGATAACAAATGTGTAATGGATAAACAGTAAAACAGGTATTAATGCAATAAACACTATGTGACCAATCAGACACAGGGTACCCGAGATAACAATATGCTTGCTACCAGTTATACTTGCCACCTGCTATAGGGCACTTGCCCTTCTCTTAATAGTGATAATGGGTCRTTTGTTTGACAATTCGGTTCTATGAAAGACGTTTTGACCCTTGAGGAAAGACTATAAACCCGTGATTCAACATCTGGGGCCTGTTTTAGGAAGAGTGATTAGCGCAATCCATCGGACGAATCCTAATTCCAGCGTATAGAATCAATACCAAATCTAAGGACTGGGCCAAACTTTATCCACCTTGGGACAATCGGTCCCTTGATAACCAAAAGGTTTTTTTAAGTTAATTAGATTCATGTTGAGAACTAAAAAAAATAGTGACAGCTGAGATTAAATATCAAGTCTTTAGAAACATGTTTGAAAAGTACTGTGAGTATTGAACAGTCAAGAGCTGCCACTAGTTTTTATTGCAATTATAAGTGACAAACTTCGAGGATGGTTTGTTTGGTTTTCCTTGTTTTTCAAAAAGATGAACATTGGATACCCACAGCTCGTTTGTGTGTTTACTATTACCTCTAGCAACCCTTTTCATGAAGTGGCTGTACTAATGTAGGACTAGTGAGCCTGAAGTGTTGTTTTGACGAGTGTGTTGCGATAATAATAATTGTACAAATACACGTAAAGCTACTTGAGTCACTCCTCCCAAAGTATCCCTTCATAAGATATCTGTCACATTGCCTATTAAAAGTGTGTGCTGATTGGTGCATTGTGCGATACGGGGTGCAGTTCTCACTTGGGGTCTATTGTTCGACTAAATTCGTACCTGTTTTTTCCATGCTCACATGAATGAATGCACTTGACTCGAGTTGTTTAATTATTCACTTGCTACTGTGGATTATCAACGACTTTCTTTCGCGATGAAAAACTAACATTTTAACGTAAACAATTAGACGTTAACTATGAAAGTGTTGACATGTTTGTTTATTATACGGTCTTCGATGTTATTATCCTTATATGGAGTTATTGCTGCTGAAGACAAAGCTTTAGAGTCGTCTACTTCTGACGACATTGATGAATCTATAGATAGCTTGGTATCAGGCGAATCAGAGAACGATTTAAAGGAACAGACAACCAAGATATCAGACGGCAATAGAAGACAATATAATGGCTTTGAGAGACTTGAMGTGTCTCCAGTTAGCCACTTGATTGAAAGACCTGTACATCACGTCCATTTTGTACCAAAACCGTATCCAGTGTTATCAGTACGATACGTTCCTAAACCAGTAGCTGTACCCTACCCAGTMCCGACCACATATGATATCAGACATGTACATATCAGAGATCATGGTAAGTTTAAATGATCGACTAATGCATAGATCAAAAAATAGCATGGTACAGGCAATGCAAGTGAGTGACGTTYTATCAATWTTTCGTGGMTCTGCACAATGATTCATTTCTGTTTTYTGATAAAAGTAGTAAAAGTAGATAATATTTTTTGTTCACAGAAAAYATCTCTGCTATAGAGTGATAATAATATGAGTCCGGCAAATGGTTAATGAAAAATACACTGAATATAGTTATTATTGTTACCATAGTACACAATGCCCCCTGCCATAACAAAGCCATATATGTCAAACTACCACACGACTATTTCTGCATCTGCCCCAAGTTATTCAAGGGACGCACATGTGAAGGTAAGACATTGTCTTCATATTGTTATACGTTTCGATAGTAACCTCCATGCTCAATGTTGATAGAGAAATATAGAGTTAAGGGTATGTATAATCAGTTATATATCCATAGTCACTGTCTCTATATAGTTTTGTAGGTAGCCATGGTAACGTATCTCTGCATTTGTTTTAAAGCACGTTTCTCAAGAGATATGTTTCCATGGTAACGTGTTTCCTTAGTTTTCTATAGGTCCATGGAGATTGTATTACATATTTTGACATACGTTTCTATGTCTCTTGTCAGTATTATTCAACTCCATAAATTTTGAATTGATTTTTTTTGCGCTGGATAAGAATTTCTCCGTTTGATATCGCTATTTCGACGCTATTAAATCTTCGTCCAGTGTCGTAATCGCTAATTATTTTCATTATTCGCAGCACGTGATTACTGTTCGTCCAACCCTTGTCTTAACCGTGGAACGTGTGTTGAGGCGACGGACACATTCAAGTGCATTTGTCCCACTCAATACCTTGGGATCGTATGTGAACGTGAGTGGAATTGATCTCGCTTTTATCCAAACAGCCTTCTTACATATATAACTATTGTCAGCCGCATGCATTTCATGGGTTAACGTTAGAATCAAATTAATTKAATCACCGTTTAATAGTTTGTCGTTCAACAAATAGCACATGGCTATACCTACAAATTACGCCATTCTGACTCTGGTGTTCGACACTTATAAAATGTGGACATTAACAAAAGTGATTTTAACAGTACTGGCATATATGATATATTAAATGAACACACTTCTGTTCCCTCATCAGGTCGCAATCCCTGCAAYCCAAATCCATGTTCAAACAATGGGGAATGTTCRTTAATTGATGACGAACAAGGATACTTGTGTGCTTGTCAAGAAGGTTTTACAGGAGATCGCTGCGAAAGTACTACCAATTGTCGATTTTTATTATCCTGGACTTTCTTTGTCTAGTTATATTTATACTTTTAACTCTTTTTTTTCCCTAATTCATGATTTTATTTGTTTCTTTACCGTTGTTTTTTATWTGTTTATCATATTTCGCTGTCTAAGTGGTCGATAGATTACCATTTTGTCTGATGTCTGGTTATTAGCTGTTTACTATTTKTCTAACTTTTAATGTGTAGGTTTTAATCGGTGTGATCCTAATCCCTGTAAAAACGGCGGCACATGTCAGCGGGTTGCCAACGAAAAATACCAATGCGTATGTCCAGTAGAGTTCAAGGGAACGTTATGCACAGGTAACCCATGTTGTTGTTCCTAGAGCCCAAGCAGTGTTTCAACAGTCCATGTCATAATGGTGGTACTTGTCACGAGACTGACGTTGGCTATAAATGTACCTGTAGGATTGGCTATGTAGGACCAAACTGTGAAAGTAAGTCACGTGATAATGATGTCATTTCCGGTCCAAGCTGACAATATCAAGTGCTTGATTTTCAGAGCATGTTTGTAGTCCGAACCCATGCCACCACATGGGTGTATGCAAAGTACACTCTGGTCACTATCAATGTCTATGTCCTGCTATGTACAARGGATACCGTTGTGAAAGTAAGTAATACTCAATTACTGCTTCCTGTATGTCATTCTTCTTTCCATCTACCAATTCAATATCCATATCTTCCTTCCTTCCGTCTTGATTACCTGTTTTCTTCATCCATTATGTCCTTCCCTCCTGTTTCCATATACTTCCCTGCATCATCCTTCATTTTGTTTATTCAAGCTTCTAATATATTCTTCACCAGTCCCCCAYCCTTGTTATACMCGTCCATGTCGCAACAATGGAGTCTGCGTTGACTCGTACAGYGGTTACAGCATATAYCCAGATAAGTGGGACATAGGATATCTYAACTACTTGTGCATGTGTCCACCTGGGTTTCTTGGCGCCAACTGTGAAAGTAAGCACATTGTAAATACTCCTCTATGAATACTTCAATAAACCAATAAAACAGTTGCTTATTCATTGGACTTTTTCTTTTCCAGCGGATATCTGCAAGAACTGTGACGTCAATGCCCAGTGCATCAACAACACATGCGTATGTGTGGACGGTTTCGTTGGTAACGGGTTCCACTGCAAAAGTAAGTTACTTTGGGATTCCTGTGTTGTTGTGACACAGGAAACCTGATTTACTCATTTTTATTCAGAAATCAGACATCCATGCCGTCCTAATCCGTGTAAGAACAATGGAATCTGTAAAGAACTGGACGGCGGACAGTATGACTGTATTTGTCCAAGTGGAACAACTGGACAACATTGTGAAGGTAAAATGAGAAAAGAGTTAACAAAATAAAATATTCATCAAACAAATAGAAAATGAATCGTAGAARTAATGAATAATTATGAGATGAAAAAGATTACATAAGCTGAAACAAACCGCCGCTGCGTGATTTATTAGCGGGATGAAAAGAAGTAAGSAAGAGTCATGTGTTTTCCCAAGTATTTCACGTCGTTTTCTGACCCTATTATGTGTGCATTTTCAGATAAGGATCCTTGTTATCCTAACCCATGCCAAAATGGTGGCAAGTGCGTAGTTATGGGCGGTATGGCCAAGTGCATATGCGAACACCCACATACGGGACTTTACTGTGACGATGGTAAGTAAGTACCATATTTATTATATTTTACGTAGAAATCCTGTAAAACAGGTATATTTATTTTTTGTTTGTTGTAGTCATTGATCCTTGCTCCAGCCATCTCTGTCAGAACGGTGGAACYTGTGTCAATGATCAAGGAAAAGCTGTGTGTAGATGTAAAGGACATTTTACTGGACCCACATGTAAAGGTATAGGTTACCATAGATACTTCACATAAAGACGCCATAGTTGGTTATTGTGAACGAAACGCTAATACAATACCAATATGTCCCATAAACGTACTAACACTAATCAAAACACTAAATCTGTTGTAACAATGCTATATCTTTCAAGAATGCTCATGCCCCAAGGGTGACAAGAAAAGTATACCGCCCAAGTTCTCGCAGGCGTGTGATCCAATGGGAGAATGTTATTGTGAAGACGAAAACATGGTCATTACAGATGTAGGATGTGCCAGAGGACGTAAGAATAAAAACTGATTGAAAAGAAGACCAGTTTACTCAATATGGTAGTCGTGTTAAGAACTTTAGATCAAGAAAAAAGCTGCTTTTATTCCTTATTGATGTTGTTTTTTGCTTTAATCTTAGGAACCTACACRCCGTGTGACTCGAATCCATGTAAAAACGGAGGGACATGTGAGGTCGTGAACGGGGGCTTTCGTTGTAAATGCACAGAAGATTGGACGGGAACCGTTTGTGAACTGCGTTAGTACTGTACAGCGGTCTTTGTTGTTGGTATCATTGATATCATCTTCATCATCTAAACCATGACTCACAGTTATACTACAATACACAACTCGTCACTTTGCTTCTCGCGATTGTCACAAAACTGTCTTCTACCGTCATATTAACAGTRACTTCATCTTGTTTCAGCTGTTTGTACTGSCGATTACTGTAAAAATGGCGGTACTTGCCAACCACGTAACCACAAACCGTACTGCACATGTCCAACTGGTTTTACTGGTTCTCAGTGCGAAATTCCTATACGTTAGTATGATATTTCAGACTTTGTCTGTAGWAGTTTGTTCACACATTGCATTTTCTTGTTAGAGAAGTCTCCAAAAGATGTCTGTCACCCAAATCCATGTTTGAATGGAGGCACATGTTCACCAATCGATGGCAGTTACGACTGTATTTGTCATGTGCAGTACACAGGTCCTCATTGCGAAGGTATGTCTGACTGACTAAAGGACGGTTGGGTGCATTGTTTGGATTGATTGATTGAATGTGTTTTTTTTAGTCGATAAGTGCGCCAAATGTGATATTCATGCTGTCTGTATTAATGGAAAGTGTAAGTGTCGCCATGGATACGTAGGGACTGGTTTTGAGTGCGTCAAAGGTGAGTCTACAAGAGAAAAAGACTGGTTCCTACAGATCGATGAATTGATCCTTATGTCTAATGTTTAGATCGTATCACGTGTCACGTTGTTTGTCCGCAATACTCTTCATGTGTAAAAGGTGCCTGCCAATGTTTCCCTGGTTACACCATGAACAACATCAACCAGTGTATCCGTAAGTACTCGATAGATCAAAGTGATGAAGTTGTCCTTCAGTAGCATCGTGTTGTGCAATAT